TATATAACCTATTTCTTGACTCTTTTACCATTTTTCTATAATTTTTACATTACTTTTTTATTTTTTATTATCACCTTATATAAAAAATAATTTAACTCATTATATAATTTTATTAGGTGTTGGAATTAATTCGTAGCGTTTTTAATGAAAGAATGTTATTTATTTCACATGAGCATTAAAAAATACATTAATGAAAGTACTTCCCATCACTTGTAAAACGCTACGAATTAATTCCAACACCTAATATATATTCAATTTTTATGACTAAAATTTCTACTTTAACCTATATAATTTTATTCTTATTAATATTTTTTGTAATATTTATTTTAACAACAAGTTTCCTCAATATCAGCTCTATAATTATCATTTTAATTTCCTACTCTATTATAATTTTTTTCCTCATATCATTTTGATCAAAAAATTACTTATATTCAATTATAATATTTCTTACACTAATTAGAGGATTACTAATTATTTTTATATATTTCACAAGATTAATTTCAAATATAATAAATAATTTTAATATAAATTTAATCGTAACTTCTACCTTTATTATTAATATAATCATACTCACTACAATAATTTATCAATTTTCCAATAATTACTTAATTAATATAAATGCCAATATACTTAATTCAAATTTATATATTAATCTTTATAATAATAATACATTCAGTAATATTTTCTATATTTATTTATATCCTTATAATAACATTACTTTACTATGTATATTTTTTTTACTTATATCTATCATGATGAAATTTTGAATCTTTACTTGGATTTTTTCTATTAATTCAAATTATTAGAGGATTATTTTTATCTATCCATTATTGTCCTAATATCTCAATTGCCTTTAATAGAATTATTCATATTATTCAAAATGTCCCTAATGGATGAATCATACGTAATATTCATATAAATGGAGCCTCAATATTTTTTATTTGTATATACTTACATATTAGACGAAACCTATATTATAACTCCTTTAATTTAACACATACTTGAATTTCGGGAGTATCAATTTTTATTCTATCCATAACCACTGCCTTTCTTGGCTATGTACTTCTTCGTCTTGGCCATGAGGTCAAATATCTTTTTGAGGAGCCACAGTAATTACCAACCTTCTCTCCACTATTCCCTATATTGGAAATATACTAGTAATGTGAATTTGAGGGGGATTCTCTATTAATAATTCAACTCTAAATCGATTTTTTTCTTTCCACTTTATCTTACCCTTTATTATCATCTTATTTATTATTCACTTATTTTTTCTTCATCAATCCGGATCCTCTAATCCTACGGGCATAAATAGAGATTTATATAAAATTCCTTTTCACCCTTATTTTTCTATTAAAGATTTATTAGGAATTTTTATTATCATAATAATTTTCTTAATTGTTATTTTATAAGCTCCATACTTATTAAGTGACCCAGATAATTTTACCCCCGCTAATCCAATAATCACTCCTACCCACATTCAACCAGAATGATATTTCTTATTCGCTTACGCTATTCTCCGATCAATTCCAAATAAACTAGGAGGAGTTATCGCTCTAACCATATCAATTATAATTTTATGCACTATACCACTTATCAAATCAAAATATTATTTACCATCTTCTATTATTATTTCTAACCAATTATTATATTGATTATTCATTAATATTTTCATCCTTCTTACTTGAGCCGGAGCTCAATTAATCGAAATACCTTACATACTAATCAGTCAAGTTCTTACACTACTTTATTTTATATTCTTTTTATCAATACCATTTTCCTATAAAATATGAAAATTTATTATCTACCCATCCTATCCCTAATTCTTCTCTCATCACTAATTAAATTAACCATTATATTTTAAAAATATCAATTAAAAATTTATAGATAAATTCTTTTCTATACAAATTTATTACTACCCCCTACCATACCCCCTCCATCTTTCTTATTCTTTTTCCCTTTCTTACCCCAACTTCATAAATTTATATAATAAATCCAATATATCTTTATCTTCTCCAATTAATGATCTTGAATAAGTTTATGTTTTGAAAACATATCAAAGAAATTTTAAAATTTTCTATTAATTTTTTCATAATTTTTTAACCTCCCTCTCACATCACACCCACTAATCAATCCCAATTCTCCTTTATTTATTATATATTATAAATATAATTTCTTAATTTTTCCCACTTACATAATATTTTTAAATATTATATATATAATTTTAATTAAATACAAAAATAAATTTAAATATCAAAATAAAAATTATATAATTTAAAATAAAAGGTAACATAATCTTTCAACATAAATATATTAATTTATTAATATATATTCATCATACCGTATTCGAGGTAAAATTCCTCGTATTATAATAATCAAAAACAACAATAAATTAATATATAATCATGCTCATATAGAAACAATTAAATTTGTAAATATACCTACCACTAAATATCTAAAAAAAATTATTATTCCATACTCTGCCATAAAAATTAATGCAAATGCCCCACTAAAATATTCCACATTAAATCCAGAAACCAATTCTGACTCCCCTTCAACAAAATCTATAGGAGTTCGATTTAACTCTGCTAATATACTTATTAAAAATACCAAAAATAAAGGCATAATTATAACTATATATCATATATATATCTGTCATTTTAAAAAATCTATAAATGAATACCTTTCCCTTAAAATTATTAAAACTAAAAAAATTATAATTATTCTAACTTCATAAGACAAAGTTTGACAAATTCCCCGAACAGCCCCTATCAATGAATAAGAAGAATTCGAAAATCAACCTATAAATATAAATATATACCCCATTACAGTTAAAATAATAATTATAAATAATAATGAATAATTTAAATAATAAATATTAGTAATATACCCATAAATTACTCAATTTATTATTATTATCATAAATAAAATAATGGGACAAATATAATACATATAATACCTTGATTTATAAACAACAAAAACCTCCTTCCTAAATAATTTAATCGCATCACTAAACGGCTGTAAAATACCCCCTAACCCTACCTTATTAGGCCCCTTACGTTCTTGAATATAACCTAAACCTATTAAATGAAATATAATAATAAAATAATTACAAATTATATTAAATTTAATAATAAATTATTTTAATAAATTATTCTATTATATTAAACAAATCAAAATAAAATTATTTCTATATTAATTTCTTTAAAATAACCTTATCTTTCTTATCTTATTATTCACAATTTAATTAATTTTTTCATATATTATATATTTATTTTATTAATATATTATTATATATTTTATTTAATATATATTTTATTATAATTTTTTATAAAAATTAAATTTATAAATATAGTCCTTTCGTACAAATATTTATTATATTAATTATAGATAGAAACCGATCTGGCTCACGCCGATCTAAACTCAAATCATGTAAGATTTTAAAAGTCGAACAGACTTAAATATTAAACTTCTACACCTAATTTTTATCTTAATTCAACATCGAGGTCGCAATCATTTTTATCTATATGGTCTTTCCAAAAATATTACGCTGTTATCCCTAAGGTAATTATTTCTTTCTTAATTATAAATAAAATCATTCATCATCAATTAACTATATCTACTCATTAATATTTTATCCCAAATTAAAGTTATTTAAAATTTAATAATCCTCCCAACTAAATAAATAAATCTATTTTTTTAAAATAAATTTTTATTATATATAAATTTATTTATAAAATTCTATAGGGTCTTCTCGTCCCATAATTCCATTTAAAAATTTTAATTTAACTACTAAATTCAATTATTATAATTTAAGACAGCTTAAATTTCATCTTTACATTCATTCAAGTTTTCATTTAAAAAACAATTTATTATGCTACCTTTGTACAGTCAACATACTGCAGCTATTTAATTTCTCAATCATTGAGCAGTAAATATTTTTTATTATAATCAAAAAACAATGTTTTTATTAAACAGTTGAACTTAATATTCATTTTTGCCTAATTCCTAAAACTATTATCTCACTTAAAAATTAATTTTATAATTTACATTTTATTTTTTACTTATTTCATCATTATTTATTATTTTTACTAATTTCAAATAATATTTCTTTATTTTATTAAATTTTTTAATATTAATTCAAAATTTTTATACATTTTTTAATCAAATATAATAATAAATTATTAAATTTTTTCTATAAAATTAAAATTTTATTAACATTAATTTATTTGTACTCTTCAATTCCTTATAATAATTTTAATTCAAATTACAGGTTATCCCATAATTTATTATCCTAAATAATAATTATATTTTATTAAATAATATAATTACTTTATAATTAAACTATTAAAATTTATCAAATTAAATTAATATTTAACTTTAAAATATTAAATTTAACTCAACTAAACTATTAAATTTAAAAATCTACTTTAGAACTAAATTAAATTTAATTAAAAAAAAACTAGATATCTTTAAAATTGACTAGAATATCTCCCCTAATAATTTATTTTTAATAATTATTAAACATTAATTAACATAATTTTAATATTTTTTATTTATTATTAGCTCTTTTAAATTCGAGAAATTCATATTTCTAAATTATATTTTAATAAACCCTGATACAAAAGGTACATTTAATTAAAATTACTTTTTCTTATTTTCATTTAAATTCACTTACATTACTTTCTTTATAATTATAAATAATTTTTTTATTATAAATAATTAAACAATTAAATATCCTTCTCATATATAACTTTAATTTATTACTAACTTTCCCCTACAATAATTTTTTAAAATATTATTTATCCTATTTCATCTTATCTTCTTATAACTTTAATTAATAATTTACAATAATTTTTTAACTATTAATAAATTTTAAATTTATTAATTACCTTACATTTCCAATCTAACTATATTTTATATCAATTAAAACAATTAATCTAAATACACATTCCTGTACATTTACTTTGTTACGACTTCTTTCAATTATTTTATTCATGAAAATGACGGGCAATTTGTACATATTTTATATAAATTTCAATTTATTTAATTTAATAAATTTACTATTAAATCCTCCCTCTTTTAAATATTAAAATTTAAAATCCTTATTATAATCTTCTTAATTGTAATTCATTTTTTCCTAATAATTCTACATTTTGATTTGAATTTTAATTTAAATTTAATTTTTTAATTATATTTTCTAATAAAATATTCTTTAAACAACAATACATAAAAATATAGTCAGGCTTATCCTATCGTGGATTATCAATTATAAAACAAATTCCTCTAACTATTTAAAATACCGCCAAATTATTTAAATTTAATGTTTCACATTTAATTTTTAATTACTTATAATCTTAATTATAATAATAGGGTACCTAATCCTAATTTATTGAATAATTTTTTTATTTTAAAAACTATTTTTTTTTTATTTATTATAAATTATTACATATTTCACCATATAATTAACTATTTTAAATAAAACTTTAATTATATATAATTACCAATTTTTTCAATATTAATTAATAATAAATTTATTTATAATTCTAAGTATAACCGCTATTGCTGGCACTAAAATTTATAATTACTTTCTTATAAATTACTAAATTTAATTTCTTAAATTTAATTATTATAAATATTATTTTTATTTTTAAATAAAAATTATTTAAATTTTTATTTATATAATCAAAAAAATTTACTTATACTTTTAATTATAAAATAAATTTTTAAA